AATGAGTAAATTGTTAATAAAGCACTGCTTAAATTGGCGATTAAAGCGAGTACTTAAGCACCAACAAGGCAAACAATGTGAATTCAATAATCTTAATTCGGTCTAAATTCCTACCGATGTTTTAATGCACATAAGAGAACAAAAAGTTGATCTAACAGCTTACAACATCAATAAAATTTTTAAACTTACTTTTACAGTCTTTAAATCTTCTGAATCTTTTGAATCACAGATTTTCATCCAATTTTCCCATAAATTTTCCATGCTGCCTGCCTACAGCCCTCTACACGTGTTTTGTGCACTCAGTTGGGAAGTAACGCGGTTCAGCAGTGTGACCCAGATTATTTCAGCGGTTGTTGTGTTGCGGTTTTTACCAAAGTTTGTGAGTTTGTGCCAAAATTTACTAAATCAAGAAAACATTTATCTAGCCCATAGGTCGAGGGTCAAAAGACATTGTTGAGGTCATGAGGATCGAAAATCTAGGTCGAACGTCGAAGTCGAAAGTCAAGAATCGTCTCGAAAGTCGAAAATACTGTTATTTTTTATAATTAATACATTTCTAGAATATTACATTTTTCGCATTTGTTGTCAAAATTTTCCTGATAACTAACTTTACTAATGCATTAGCCTAGGGCATAATTAGGTTCCTTTGTTTTTCGAGAAAGTGCAGAATTACTGAAAAATAAAAATATCGATTCCCATTGTGGAGTTCAGATATTTTTTGAATGATCTTTACTTCATGTATGTAATATGTATAATTTCACTTCATTTTCTGTATGCTTAAGACATTAACGAATGCCAACAATCTCCCTCTGTCTGTCATTCCCTGGCAAAATGTTCTGACACTGAAGGATCGTTTTCTTGTCAATGTGATAGCGGATTCACTGGAGATGGTATTGTCAATTGTACAGGTATACATGGAAACGTCACCTATTTAGCATATTTGAGCGAAACCCAACGGAAATTCTTAACAGAAATTCGGCTAAATTTAATAAACATGAACCACGGCATCCGTTGAGCTGTTTGGTCAACCAGGCTCGCCGCTAACGGAGAATTGTTCCATACACTATGCAATGCATGCATGCCTGCAGGGCGGCTCCCGTTAACTGTATATTAGTATATTTAGTATTCGTATAATTTTAATTCACGCTTTTTCATAAAAGTTTCAATAATTTTGTTTCGATTTTTACGTATTTTGTGATAAATATGTATTTCGTGACCGATAGATTATTTGAAATCTGTGGATTTTCGTTATAGTCATAGAGGTCAAATAATGGAAACAAAGTTATATGCAATCTCGTTCCCCGAACCTGCGATCCTCGGGAAGGAACGTGAGGCTCTGGGATAATCCGTTTCAGGGAGGAATCTGATTAGCTGTTGAAATGGAATGCATAGTTCAATCTTAGCCAGGATTCCTGGCTTCCGGCAACGGATTATCCCAGAGCCTCGCGTTTCTTCCCGAGGATCGCAAGCTCGAGCTCGGGGAACGAGATTGAGTTATATGCAATAATGGACAAATCATGCAGCCAGTTCTAGTAGACGCGGGCGGAGGACTGCAAACTAAAGTCTAATTTGGAGTGGCCTTAGCGAGTAGTTTTGTACATTTTAGTGAGTTCGATTAACTCGGCTTGTTATTATAGCTGTATTTTTCGCAACTGCTCCTGGTAATCTAAAGATGCATATAATTTCCACTCAAACTTTTCATCTGCAAAAAGCCCTTCGAAATATTTTGCAAATTGTTTGTGTCAGCTTGACAAAAGAATCTGTGATAGAGAATAAATTCAATTTTTGAAACATGTTGACGTTGCTTTAATGATTTTCATTATTCCTGATGTAGATGAGAAAGGTGGCACAAGCGAAGACAAAACAATCTTCTTTGTGATTGCTGGCGCCGCTGCTGTGTTCATCTTGATTATCAGTGTAGCAATCTACCATCGCATAAAACGACACCGAACCCACAGAGACGCCAAACTCAGGACCAGAATACTTCACACAAGCGACAAAAAGCCCCAAAGAATTGCATTCCAGCCAACTGGTCAAGGTAGTAGCGAAGAGATAGATCTGGAATTGTTGGATAACGAGGCTATTCATGATCTTGAAGAGAAAATCAAAATAAAGCCTTGATCTTCCAAGTTCTTTTTTCTTGTTGCCATATGAAAGTTTGCGATTATTTAATTAAACCTTGATTTCCAGCTTTAAGTTTTACTGTAAATATAGATGTTGTAAGAACAGTGTTCGCAATTTTGATTAAATTTTAATAACTCCAACTGGGATAATATTTACAGCTATTGTAACGAAACTGAAGAAAACTTTAATAACTGTGTCATGCAGCTCTTTTGAAAGAATAGAAACTATACTGAATGAGTTTAAAACACACCCACAAACCATTTCCCATAATTTGCGAGCTGTTTATAATTAAGATTTGGGTGTGTTTTTGTATGTATGTATATCTATACCTGCATGACAGCGATTTTATGGTGGACTTTGGTGGACTGTAAATTTATTATTTCCAAGAGTGGGTTGACTACAAAATTTTTGTAGTTCGCTATAACTACAGCTACTTCAAAAATATGAACAAAGGTAGTTCGCTACTGACTACAGCTACTGCTTAAAAAATGTAGCGAACTATTTCGCTATTTCGCTACTCTGTATTTTTTAGTTTTACGGTATTTGGAGCATCCACTAGCTCAGGCTGTAATGTAACCTATAACAAATCGACTTACGAGTAGCAACAGTAAACAAAAAGGGTCAAAGCAACATTTTTGTAAGCACTACAGTGTTCAGGAGTGACACTTTTCATTGCGCTAAAATAATCTTTACTGTATAAAATAATCTTTTAAGCAAACCGTGTCTTAATATCATTCTATTCTATGAACGGTTGCTAACAATTTTAAAAGTAGCGAATAGCGATTCGCTGTTTGAAAAGTAGTCAACTATTTGGCTACTTTTAGGCAAAATGTAGTTCGCTATAACTACAACTACTGTTTTAAAAAAGTAGTCAAAAACTACTGGCTACTTGAAAATTGTAGTTCGCTACAGTAGCGAACTACAACTACTTCGCTACTACCCACCCTTGATTATTTCATGTCCTAATAGAATCACTGTAATCGTGAAGTTTGTATCATAGTAATATTATTTCAATTCATACATAACCTCAACATCTGTTAAACACAATGATGAAATACAATAAAATCATGCATATACATTTATCCTCATACTTCGATCGGCTTCGTGTGCTTGTATTAACAGTATTTAAGCCGGTTTTCCACTTCGCCCGTATCGTACCGAAACGTACTGGTGAGCATGCGTAGATTGAAAAGAGGTTTATAAATCCACGTACTTCCGGCTGTATTCGCGTATCAAGATAAAAAGTTCGTCACAAGTCAACTTTCTGGCGTACTACGGAAGTACTAACCAATCAACATTCACGAAATTTTGAAATTTAAAAACGTTTTTGATACGGTACGCTTGAAGTGGAAAACCGGCTTTATAAAAACTCCGCGTACTCAATAAACTCGTACTGCCAGGGGCGTAGGAACCGGGGGACCAGGGGGGGCAGCCCCCAAGTTTTGCCAAGTGCCCTTTTTCCGGGAGCAAAGTGCCCTTTTCTTGCGTGAAAAATGTCTAGATTGCCTTTCTTGCCCAAAAGGCACTTTTGAAAACTTGAATTTATGTTATTTTCCGGAAAATTTTTTTCATTTCCGGAAAAAATCTGATATATCCGGAAAATATTTTGGTATATCCGGAAAAATTTTTCATGATATATCCTGAAAAAAATTTTTTGGTATGTCCGGAAAAAAATTTTGAGACCCCCCGTCGCCAACTTTTCCGGGAAAAAATTTTTAGATGCCCTTTTTTATTCGGAAAGTGCCCCTCAAAGCCTGCCCCCCCACCCAACTTTTAGAAGCTTCCTACGCCCCTGCGTACTGCAATTGCAAGTTAGTTCTCTCGCTAGATCGATTTGGGATTTCTCTACGTACGCCCATTTTTCAGTTCAATGGCTCTGAAAATGGGCGCTCTTCAGTATTACCATAGAAGTGACTCTGCCGATTAACGGCTGCGCGAGAATTTTTGCCGGGGCACATTTAAACAAATAGAGAATAATAATACATGGGTGCGCGGAAAAACCAGATTTATTTCGAGTGTTGAACGAGAAATAAATCTGGTATATTTCCAAGCACCCACGTATTTTTCTGTTTATTATATAAAAGACATGCAGTCTTTGCAAAGCGATAATTTTTTACAGAAAAGCGATAATTGAAAAGCGATAATTTTCACATGTGAAATTATCATAAATAATCTCACATGTGAGATTATCAGTTTCATCAGTGCTTGAAATCTCTATAAAACACTATACTTTATATAATAAATAAAATTAATCAGCACATATAATTCATGACATATGTTAGACAAAACCAAATTAAAGTTTTAATTAAAATTCACTTCTGCTCTGTTTTACACGCTTGTATATGACTTCAAATTCGCCTTTACTCCCTTCTTTTAGCAATTCTTTCGTCTTTATTTTCTTAAAAAGCTTTTGAAATTTACAAAATCCTGCCAAAATGAAATATATTTGCAAGAAATCATCAAATCAAGAAATGTTTGTTATTTCTTTGTCGTATAATGCAGTCGTTATAATACAAATTTTAAATTTGACCAATCAGTGTTCGCTATTCATGACAGCCCGCCATATTTTTGAGATCAGTGAGGATGACCACATAGAGTTGGTTCACGTTGGTCACCCACGATCATTGATTTGGGCGGAATTAGTACACTCGCCCCGTGCTTACGCCCGGAACGGCGTTGGCTCGGGGACAACGGCTTGTTCCAAACTTGTTGACAACTTGGGACAAGCAGTGCGAACACAACCTATTGACGGCTTATTGGCAGACTTGCTACAAGATGTGAGATTTTTACGTGTATATACCCCATCTATTAGACATCACGTGCCGCACGCGTGCTATTAGTGGTATGCAGTTAATCTCCGGAGATCTATAAAACAGAGATATGGCAGCCATGTTGAAGGAAAACACACATAATGATATAGTTTCTTCTATTAATTTTACTCATAATACACTTAATTTACAACTATACAAGAAAATACTTAAATATATCTCTATGTTATTCTATAAATAAATCTATTATATAAACTTTTAAAGAATAATGGTAACAAAAAATTTATTTTCTCATTTTATAAAGAACGTTTAAAAAATGATCTCTAAAAATGTTGTTACAGACTTTTAATATCAAGCTTAACTCTTGAAAAATTTTGACCTAAACGTCAGGAATGGGGTTAGCCTTATAAATTTACTTCTAAGCTACTGAGTAACAAAATGAAAAGTTGTTTATTTTATGTTTTATTCAATTCGAAATTTGAAATAGCAACCAAAAACGACTTTCCGGTTCATATTGATCACTGGCTGTCAAGATAAAAAAAAGGACTTGAGTGACCCCACTTGTGACGTAATGTGCATATCCTCAATAATCCAAAATGGCGGACAGTTTAAACGTTGTTTCAAATATGACAATAAAAATTTCCGTCGCCACTGTGCTTTAAGTATACAAGTTAATAAGTTATAATTATTTTATTAAGCTCTTCACATGAGCGATCACATCAAAACTAAACTACTGTTTCTATGTGCACTACGTGTACTGCAACGATTACGCAACGATCAGTTTGCTGAAATTTAAAATATAATACAAAGTTCTACGATAGTAAGAAACTTTTTTCATTTTCAATCTACAATTTTATTGCAGTGTGATTAGATCCTCATTAGAGTACGGCGATGTATTATGGCACGGTAATCTAACCAATGCGCAAAGCGCGGACTTAGAAAGGATACAAAAAAGAACACTTAGGATAATTTGCCCCAAGATGGACTATAAGTAAAGACGTGAAAAACATTGTGTGGAACTTATCAGGAAAATGTCGTCGAAGAGACATAGACTCCATTATCTCCTTCAAGCAAAGGTTGGAGAACCAAGACAAAAAGATACTAGATCTAATGATGACAAACACTATAAGTTTAAATATCGGACAGAACGTTTTAGGAAGAGTGCATTAGTCTATGATATGTGATAGTTATAATAATAGTTATTTAAATAGATATAGGTTCAAGGTTTAAAAAAGGTGCTTTCTAAAAGCCCAAAGGGTGCTCTGTCGACGAGAGAGCTTTACAGCCAAATATCAACGACAACGAATTCGTCAAGGTCTTTTTCCTACACTGCAGATATCCACGACTTGGTTACGTGCGGGTTGTTTTTTCATTTCAAAGTGGGAATCTTGGCCTCCGTTATTTGGACAGAATTCATAGCAATCATCCTGGTGCGTTGTTAACATGATGATACTGACGTGTTTCTTTTTGATGCAAATTCCACACACGACCATAGACACAAGCGCTAGAACCGACACCAAACACACCACGACGATAAAAATGGCTTTGTGAAGTCCAAAATATGATGGATCATTAGAAGATACAGTTGGTGCTAAAGATAAAATTAAAGTGATAAGTTTTACCAAATCCTATCTTAAGCAAAAATTATTTGGTAAAATCTCATCATGTGACATGGTATGAAAACACATTCAAGCGTTTGTTCCAGCTGCTGGGCATATTATTGACGGGGAACATTTAATACCTTCGCCGTTTTCTTTTACGCTATCTTTCTCAATTCCCAGTTTTCCCAGTTTCCCATCTTTTATTTCGTTCTGCAGTTTCTCCAGAGGATCATTGGTCTTTTTTCGCCAAACAAGCTTAAATTCCACCACCACTTTATTTATGCTGGAACTAAATAATGCACGTTCGTGGAATAATTAATTGTCAACTTGTTCGGTTTGTCACATGAACAGTTTTGGCAGTTCGCTATAAAAGTATTGACCTATGTATTGGCTTAGTTTTTATTTAATCAATTTAATAAATTCTACTAATAATTACTGTACTTTCTACGATTTTACTCGTCAAACAGAGATAATGCTAATTATTTCTCATAACTTTCAAATAAAAAGAATTCACCATACCGGAAACTTGTAACAAAAACGTATACAAATTCCTTTTCATTAGCATAGACTTTATCGATCTATAAAAATACAGGTAAATTATTATTGTAAAAGGCCACAAAAGCACCTT